GCTGTTTGTCTGAGTGTGAACGCTGGAATTGTGTGTGTGTGTGTGTGTGTGTGTGTGTGTGTGTGTGTGTGTGTGTGTGTGTGTGTGTGTGTGTGTGTGTGTGTGTGTGTTTCCTCTATATTCTCATTATATCATCACACTTCATTCTCCAGAAGACCTGAAAACACTTTAACACACACTCTTTAACCATTTCTCCTGCTCAAGCTGTGCTCCTGACACCACTGTCAGCACTCTCTGAGCTCTGCTGTTGTTGTTTTAATGCTAAGCTGTGGACACAAGGTCAACCTGAATGATGTGAAGCCTTTAAAGGGTGAAAATGTTAGACTTTTCAGACTATTATTTCATCAGTCAAGCTTAACTGAGCTCATCTATTTAACAAACAGCACATCTGAGCCAGAGAGCATTTCATCAACCAATCAGAAGCCGGTGCTCATTTGCATATTCAGTATTACTGACGTCATATTGGCTGGAATGTGTTGAGAGGGCGGAGTTTTGAAATGATTGATGGCTGAGGTCAGAGAAGGAGTTAAATAATAGCTGCTATACTCCTGAACATCGTCTCTTGTTGTCTTCAGGCATCCTAAATGACCCTTTAGCAGACAGATCTTGCGCTGAAGTCAGTGTGAAATGATCCAGACTGTCTGTACCCGTGTTAGATCAGTGTGTGTGTGTGAATAAAAGTGTCTGTCTGTCCATCCTGAAGGGGGTTTGATCAGCTTTGACATCTTCCCGGAGGGCTGGGACAAACGCCTCTGTCTGGACGTCCTGGAGCAGGAGGGACTGGACACCATCTACTTCTTTGGCAATGAAACCTCACTGGTGAGTGAGTGAATGCGAGTCTGTATCAATGTGACTTCGGTTTTCATTCATTTTTAATCAACTTTACGGACTTGTACATTTGATTGTGTGTGTGTTTGTTTTGTGCGTATGTGTGCGTTTGCTTTGCTCTCTCATGTTCACTGTTAAACCTGCCATTGAAAGGCTTAATAATAAAGAAGGACGAGTTCAGAAGTGTGTTTAGTGTGTAGAAGTGCACAATTTTTCCATTTCTTCTTCTTCCCCTGATCAGGGTGGAAACGACTACGAGATCTTCGAGGATCCTCGCACCGTGGGCTTCAGCGTCTCCTGTCCCGCAGACACAGCGCGGCTCTGCAGAGAGATGTTCTTCAGCGCTCCTCCAAATGAAGATTGATCAAGACTCTCCGGCGCCCCCCGCTGGACAATACAGGACACTACCGGTGGGAAACACACATTGACTCAATACAACAAACACAGATGAAGACACAGACTGTATGGAGACATCACAAACAGACTGACCTTACAGCTTTATAGTGTCCACGCATTCAGGGTCATTACCGTAAGCACTCATTGATAAGCATCCGGAGTCATTACCACTGCCAAAACAGGCTTTATTATTAGAGTTTTGGTCTCATTTCATGTCAAAATATCCAGAAATATCTTTTAAATCAAGAAGCATTTTAGAGATGAGTACAAATATTGTTGTTTTCAGAAATAATGAGTCAAAATTAAGTGTTTTCTTCCAGTAAATAAAGCTAAAACGTCTGCAGATGTGCTTAGTGATGCAGTATTACTCCAATGTGAAATTTGGATTATTTACTTGGCTCATTGGCAGATTATTGTGCTTGTTTTACAGAAAAACTCACCTGATTTTGACTTGCGTCATTCTATATTTGTTGCTTGTCTTGAAAATGCTTCTTAATTTAAGAGTTTGTAGATATTTAGACTATAACAAGACACAAACTCTCAGTGATAAAGGCATTTCTTGCGGTGTGTGTATTTTAATAGTCTGTTTTAACAGTAACGTGTTTAACCGTGGTCACGTTTACACTGTGGGGTTTACCGAGTGACCGCTCTCTTAAAGGGACAGCTCACTCAGAAATACAAATGCACTCATTATTCACTAAAGGAGTGTTTCTCAACCATGTTCCTGGAGGACCACCAGCTCTGCACATTTTCCAGGTCTCCTTAACCAAACACACCTGATTCAGGTCATCAGCTCAGTAGCAGAGACTAAAGGACCTGTAATGGGTGTGACAGACAAAGAAGACATCCAAACCATGCAGTGCTGGTGGTCCTCCAGGAACGTGGTTGAGAAGCACTGCTTTTGAAGAATGTTGGAAGCTGTTGACTTCCATAGTAGTTAAAAATTATTTTTGCGTGAACCGGCCCTTTAAGATGCAGCATATTCTGTGGGTTGTGGACAGAAAACAGCAGCATAATTAAGACTTCATTAATGGATAGACATTTATTAAGACATACTTTCTTCGTTTAATTAGTCAGTAGTCATCATTAAAAGTGCTTCTTCATAAAAACCACCCTTAAAATCATAAGCCATTGACTTCCATAGACGGAAATAAGCTCATTTTTGGGGTGAACTGGCCCTTTAAGATGCAGAAAACAGAAGAAAGCTGTATAATTAAGACTTCATTAATATATAGACATAATTAAGACATTCTTATGTTATTTAATTAGTCAGCAATCATCATCTCATATACTTTTTCATAAAAACAACCCCAAAAATCATAAGCCATTGACTTCTATAGTAAGAAATATAGTCATTTTGGGTGAACCGGCCCTTTAAGATGCAGAAAACAGCAGACGGCTGCATAATTACGCCTAATTTATAGATGGACATAATTCAGATTTTTTTTTTCATTTAATTAGTCAGCAGTCATCCTTAAATATGCTTTTTCATAAAAGAACGCTCTTATGAACCACTGACTTCCATAGTAGGAAAACTACTTTTTTTTTTCTGTGAACCGGCCCTTTAAGTTGCAGGAAACAGTAGAAAGCTGCATAAATAACACTTAATGAATAGATAGATTAATTAATTAAGACTTTCTTTCTTCATTTAATTAGTCAGTAGTCCTCCGTAAATTTTTTTTTTTTTTTTTTTTATGAAACTCGCCCTCCATAGTAGGAAATAAAGTCACTTTTGTGTGAACCGGCCCTTTAAGATGCAGAAAACAGGAGAAAGCTGCATAATTAAAGACCTAATAGTTGGACATAATTAAGACATTATTTCTTCATTTAATTAGTCAGTAGTCATTATTAAATATGTCGACTAGTCCTACTTTTTACTAAAACCCCCTTAAAACACATGTGACCACTCTAGTTATTACAGTCAGTAGTAAAATATGATACTGTAGAATATGACCAATGGTGTCATGTTTATGTAAATATTAAGCTTCTCTGCTGATAATGGATGGAAAAGTGATGATCAAACTCATGTTTTAAGTCATATGAGCTTATCTTAATGCTGTTTTATAATGCAATATAAAGGTAATTATAGTGAACTTAATAATTTTAAGGAAGCTATGATCTATTATTTTTTACAGTGTATACAGTATGTAAAGGGCCGCAGAATGTAAATATACAGAGGTATTGTAAATTTTAATTCATTTATTTTTTTCAGCAAGATTTTTCAACGCATATTTAATCATAATAGTTTTAATAACTCATCTCTAATATCTGATTTATTTTATCTTTGCCATGATGACAGTAAATAATATTAGACTAGATATTCTTCAAGACACTAATATTCAGCTTAAAGTGACATATAAAGGCTTCACTGGGTTAATTAGGGTAAAGTTAGGGTAATTAGGCAAGTCATTGTTTAACAGGGGTTTGTTTTGCAGATTATCCAAAACTAATATTGCTTAAGGGGGCTAATAATATTGACCTTAAAATTGGTGTTAAAAAAATGAATGCCTGCTTTTATTCTAGTCGAAATAAAACAAATCAGACTTTCTCCAGAAGAAAGAATATTATCAGACATACTGTGAAGTATTCCTGAATCTGTTCAACATCATTTGGGAAATATTGGAAAAAGAAATTCACAGGAGGGCGAATAATTTAGACTTGAACTGAACTGTAAACACAGACCAAAAGCTCAATCCGTCTGCTAGAGTATAAACAGTTAAGATTAGCAGACGGGTTGTTTTAAACAGTGTTTTTCCCGCCATAAAATGTGAAAACTAAGCAGGACCAAACCTTTTTAATGTAGGGATGAGTTTTCACTAAAAGGGATTAAATAATTTAGTGGTTGTAAAGGGAACAAAAGATATTTTGGATGGAATTTATTAGAAATTGATTAATTGTATTAAAATCAGTGCAATAAGAAAGTTTAATCTTTGCTTAAAGTAGTTAATTTTACAATTAATGCAATTATTGCATACGATTATGCAAAATAAATGTTTTTATATATATATATATATATATATATATATATATATATATATATATATATATATATGTATGAGCAATATCACACGAGTAGCAGTGCGACATGGTTGTATATTGGCACTGGCGGGAGGCGTGCGTTGTGCCTTAGTGCCACCACCAGTGCCGATATACAGGCTTATCGCACTGCTACGAGTGTGATTTTGCGTTTATATAACAGTTTGACGGCATAATTGTGTATATAAAAACAAAATCAAACATGGAGAGTCTCAAAAACCCTTTTGTATGAGGAACTACTTTCTTCCGCCTTTGGATTCAAATTATAAGCTGACAGTTAAACAGCTGTTAAAACAGTTAAAAGCATCTTTTAAACTTTAGATCTGTAGTGTCTGCCTTTTGCTGGCTGTATGTGTGCGGAGTAATACACAAACTGTAAAGAGGCTGTAGGAGTTCTGATATTGCAGAATATCGCACAGCTTTCAGCCAATCTGATTTGAGAACCAGACAGAACTGTTGTATATATATATATATATATATATATATATATATATATATATATATATATATATATATACAGCGCTCAGCAATTACAAGTTTACCTCTCACAAATCTCTCTTTAAAATCTATATTTCTAATAGGAAGCTCTACAATATTGTATCTGTGCATATACATTAGATAAGTCAGTACAGAAGCCAAATCTGGAGCTCATCTAACAGTAATTTACGACAACGATCCAAAAACTAGCACAGCTAAATGTATTTGTTGTAGAAAAATATTAAATACACATTTTAAAAAGAGGAAAATCAAGAGAAGCAAGAATTTTTTTGTTGTTGTTGCAATATTTAGCTTGAGTTTATTTGTATTTTCTTTCAATTTCTCAATGTGTTTGGTGACTAAAAAATATTGTAATAAATGTATCTGTTTAATCAATCTGTTTAGATTAAATGCACCAACATACATCACATATCTTCACTGAGAAATGGAGAAAAATATTAATTTTTATTTCTTTTAATTTTAATGATTATTGGTCACTCCTGTGAATGACATCAGTGTGAGCGTGAACACAGTAATATACACCATGCTTCTACTACATGCATTTGTGTGAGCTGTGCTTGGACATCACTTCATCCATCAGTCTGTATGCCTGTGAAACGTCTTTAATGTGAGCTTATTTTAAACAGGACCTATTCTGACCTTTATTACAAGATATAAAAGGTGTCTCTGATGTGTCCAGAGTGTGTGTGAGAAATTTCATCTCAAAATAGCACACAGATGATGTTTTACAACTGTCTGAATCTGACCCTTTTAGGCTTTGAGCTTAATTGTGGTGTTTTGATGACTGTCGCTTTAAATGCAAATGAGATTTTCAAAAAGGGGGTGGAGCTACAAACACCTGTATGTCAGCATAGTGACGAATTCAAAAACAACTATCTGGTATCTGTGTGAAAATGTGTGTGTCAGGGTGTCGGACGGCTGCTTCTCACTCAGGGCTGTTTATGCTAATGAGGAAGAGATGGTCTGTAATGTGCGGGGCTTTAATTCATGTGTTCAATTAAAGGTTGGCTATACTCACACACTGATGGCACACAACTGGGTTTCAACCCCTTATTAAAGGGATATTTGCATAATAGAACCCCCTTAAGAGTCTGTTTAGATGTGATGTTCATCTGTTTATCATTCCTGAGAGATAACAATCATTCTGTCCATCAGTCAGAACACACGTGAAGATCTTTAGGGCATTTCGAAAACACTATAGTCTGGATTAATCAGCCTTTATGAACATTTACCATGTGTTTAACGACAAATAAAACCAAAATAAACATGCTTAATTCTGATATGTGATCATATATGAGCTTATATTTAACATAATAGTTCATATATTTGAATATACGTGCACAAATATACAGTAAATCCAATTCATAATAGATGTAAGCTATATCTGTAAATGGCCATTTTTCTATATTTTGAAATCTATATTGCGTTTATGTGCACATTTTTATATCTGCAAAAATCAGACGTGAATTTGATTGTCATATATGTGATTTGCATAAATAGAAATATCAGATTTAAATACGATAATCACAAATTCAACATGCTTTTGCATCATTACCACAGTTTAACCATGGTATTTTGTGCTAAAACTGTGGCTATCCTAAAAAAACCCGTGCAACTTAAAACTTATACTATAGTATAAACATGGTATATTCCCTTACACTGTAGTATAAACATGGTACATTCCCTTACACTGTAGTACTAGCATGGTAAATTCCCTTATACTATAGTATAAACATGGTAAATTCACTTTTACTATAGTATAAACATGGTACATTCCCTTACACTGTAGTATAAACATGGTAAATTCCCTTACACTGTAGTACTAGCATGGTAAATTCCCTTATACTATAGTATAAACATGGTAAATTCACTTTTACTATAGTATAAACATGGTACATTCCCTTACACTGTAGTATAAACATGGTAAATTCTCTTATACTGAAGTACAAGCATGGTAAATTCACTTTTACTATAGTAAAAACATGTTAACTATGGTAAAAACATGGTCAATTCACTTTTACTATAGTATAAACATGTAAATTCACTTATGCTATAGTAAAAACATGGTTAATTCCCTTATATTATAGTATAAACATGATAAAATCACTTATACTATAGTAAAAACATGGTCAATTTTTTTTACTATTGTAAAAACATGGTAAATTCATTTATACTATAGTAAAAACATCATAAAGTCCCTTATACTGTAGTGTAAACATTGTAAATTTACTTATACTATAGAAAAAGCATGGTAATTTCACTTTTACTATAGTATAAACATGGTAAATTCACTTGTACTATAGTATAAATTCACTTATACTATAGTAAAAACATTGTAAATTCCTTTATACTGTAGTATAAATATGGTAAATTCACTTATATTATAGTATAAACATGGCAAATACACTTGTACTATAGTAAAAACATCGTAAATTCCCTTATACTGTAGTGTTAACATGATAAATTCACTCATACTATAGTAAAAACATCGTAAATTCCCTTATACTATAGTATAAACATGGTAAATCCACTTATACTATAATAAAACATGGTAAATTCCCTTATACTATAGTATAAACATGGTAAATTCACTTATACTGTAATATAAACATGGTAAATTCACTTATACTCTAATAAAACATGGTAAATTCCCTTATACTATAGTATAAACATGGTAAATTCCCTTATACTATAGTAAAACATAGTAAATTCACTTGTATTATAGTAAAACCATGGTAAATTTTCTAATGATGGATCAAGTGTTTCCGTTCTGATTCCACAGTCTGAAGAGTATGAATGTTAATGTATTAGTGTTTCATATCTGACGGCATTATGCACTTTAATTGATTCATATCATTAATAATGGACTACTAATGATGATGTACACGGTGCTGGAGAGACTCGTCTACTCCTATCTCAGAGTTCCTTTTGCTTTGTTTCATGTATATATGTATATAGGGGAATTGTGAGCTTAATTCCAAGTGGATCTAAACTGATTTATTGAGGACGTTTATGGGTTACACTTCAGTTGAAAGTAAGTAAACACTCCTGGGAGAAAGCAAAAATGTGATTTTCATTGTTCAGAAAATTCTGTATTATGTCTAATGCCTTGTGATGGATCATGAGTGTGTATGTTTGTTATAAATACATGTTTTCCTGACTTTCTGAGTCTGATCTGTTTATGCGTGTGTTTTATTCTGTGATGGCATAATGTACACATAATACACAAACATGCAAATCATAAATTCATTTTATTAGTTCATCAAGTTCACATGAAAGAGACATTGACCACAGTGATCTGAGCTCTGAAAAGTGCTGAACATAAAAATAAGACATCAGTTTTACACCCTTACAAGGGCACAGAAGCATCAGGTATAATGTGAAGATATCTGACAATCACTCATAATACAAACTAAAGAACATGCAACAAGATCATATGACTAAGCATAGTATGGAAGGCAATTGGTGTCAAAAATAAAGCACTTGAACATTTTTAGCCTGTACCATGAAGCTGGATTGAAGCTTGGTCTTGGGCACCTTGATATTTTTCACTGCACCGCTAACCTGCTTTAAGGCAGGTTAAGTTCTGGATATGTTCTAAATATGCTCTCATTTTGTTCAGGCTATGTTCATGTTATGTTTTAGCCATTTTCTGTTCTGGATATGCTCTAGATATGTTTAGGTTACTTTCAGGTAATGATTTATATATGTTCTGGATTTGTTAGTGTTATGTTTAGGTTATGTTCTGGTTATTTTCAGTTTAAGTTTTAGATATGTTCTGGTTATTTTCAGGTTATGTTCAAGTTATGTTAGCTGTTTTCAGGCTAAGTTCTGGATATGTTCTCTAGATATGTTTAAGTTACTTTCAGGTAATTTTTTTATATATGTTCAGACTATGTTCTGGATTTGTTCGAGTTATGTTTAGGTTATGTTCTGGGTATTTTCAGGTTATGTTTTAGATATGTCCTGGATATGTTCAGGATCTATATAAGGTAGGTTCTGGTTATTTTCATTTTAGTTTTAGATATGTTCTGGATATGTTTTATGTATTTTCAAGCTGAGTTCTGGGTATGTTCTCTAGATATGTTTAAGTTATTTCCAGGTAATGTTTTATATATGTTCAGGCTATGTTCTGGATTTGTTAGTGTTATGTTATGTTATGTTTAGGTTATTTTCTGGTTACTTTTAGGTTATGTTTTGGATATATTTAAAGTATGTTCTGGTTATTTTCAGTTTGAGTTTTAGATATGTTCTGGTTATTTTCGCATTATGTTCTGGATATGTTTAGGTTATGTTTTAGCTATTTTCAGTTCTGGATATGTTCTAGATATGTTTGTTACTTTCAGGTATTGTTTTATATTTGTTTAGGTTATGTTTTGGTTATTTTTTTTGTTTAAGAGATATGTTCTGAATATGTTCAGAGTATATTTAAAGTATGTTCTGGTTATTTTCAGTTCAAGTTTTATATATGTTCTGGTTATGTCCTGGATATGGTCAGGTTATGTTTTAGCTGTTTACAAGCTAAGTTCTGGATATGTTCTAGATATGTTTAAGTTACTTTCAGGCAATGTTTTATATATGTTCAGGTTATGTTCAGGCTATGTTCTGGATGTGTTCATGTTATGTTTAGGTTATGTTTTAGATATGTTCAGGTTGTTTTCAGGCTAATGTTCAGGATATGTTTAGGTTATGTTACACTCTAGATGTGTTCAGGTTATATTCTGGTTTAGAGATTCAAAACTGTAATTTCACCAGTCAAATGTGACCAAAGTTAAAATAAAGACACAACCCCAGTGTCTTTAAAATCTGTAATTCTGAGTTTGTTGAACCACCATCATGGTACAGGCACCCGATCTAATCAAAATGAAATTTTAGCCAATGAAATCTCTTGATTTGAAACTATATTTGCAAATATGATTCAATGGTACGTTGGGATATATGGATACAGACTTTTGACGTCATGTTTATTTTGTGAATAGTATATTGCAGTGGTCTGTAAACATACACGTGTTGCTGTTTATAAACAAAAGAAAAAAATCACGTTTCATTTCATTTTTGGCCCCAACTTCCTTCCATAATAATAACAACGCAACAATGTATCAACATCACAGTTTCTCTGAACTAATAAATGCCACAAACATACAGAGATCTTTAGCATGTGCTGTGTGTAAGTGCTCCTGCTAGCCTGCTGCTGTTATTATTATTCAGCTCATCTACAAAATGTTGCGTATTTTACCCTGATAGATTCCCAAGGATTCTGAGAGATAAAGTCAGTTTGGCAGTTCGTATCTGTTTTTTTTTTAATCAGTTTATCAAGTGCAAAATTAGTCTGTGATGCTTCAGTTGCAGCATTTATAGCAGTCATGGACCTGTCAGACTCGCATCTCACCCTCACATCAAATAAGAAATATTTTAGATTTTGCATAATAAAAATAAACTTGAATGAAAACCATCAAACTAAAATGAGCTTAAAGAGCAGGTCATGTGTACTTTATAGCATCCTATTATTGTGTTGAGGCTCCTACAACAGATATAAGCGCATCTAAGATCAGAAAACATCATTTCAGAACATGATTTTAATATTAGAATCATTCTGCACTGATTTCAATTCTGTTCGTTTTAATCAATTCTCAGCTTCAGGTCTGTAAGCCCCTCCCCTTTCATAAGCCAGCTCTGATTGGTCAGCGGACAAAGCCTGTTTTAATTGGTCTTTCCATATCAGTAATGAAAAGCCAATTTCAGAGTTTCAAAGCGTTGAATCAACTGAATCAATTGCTTCACAAAAAGATTCAATGTTTCGATGCATTTAAAACACCACCTGCTACTGCCACCTGCTGGTTAAAACTGTAAATCTGACCAAAAAAAACTCAAGCAAACCATGCTAAACATTTGCCTTTCCAAACAAATTTCCAACGTTTAACTTAAAGTATAATGTATTAAACGCAATTAGTTAATCAGTTAATAGCATTAAATGTTATCTGCATAATATGAAATTTTACCAATTTTTAAAAATTAAAACGATCTGAGATCAGATAAAAACTATAAATGTTGTTCAGTGATTGGCCACTAGGGGGTGATCTAATTGAACCCACATGATTTATGTGTAATTTATGATAATATGCATATGCTGGTAGTATAGAAGTTAGTTTTTTTTAATTTTTAAAATTGTAATAATGCAACAAAGCCCCTAATATCATGATTCGTAAAAGTTTGTGTAGCGATGTTTTGGAAACAGCCACCACTAGTTAACATAAATCAGTAGCAGGCAATAATTTCTGTGATTTACGATAGGCTTTCTTTCGAGAGACAATATGTTTACATTGAAGGACCGTGACGTTAAAAACAGCAAATACGATATTTATCGAAAACCCAAAATTTGATAAAAATTATTAACATAACCTTTTTTTTTTATTTGAAAAAAAAATCAGGATGAATTTGATTTTGGTTCGTTTAAATCAGTTCTAGGCTTCAGATCAGTAAGCCCCTCCCCCTTCGATAAGCCAGCTCTGCTTTGATTGGTCAGCTAGCCAGGTTTTTTTAAATTGGTCTTTCTGTATTAGAAACAAAACGGCCATTTTATGGTTTGTATGTCATGGGAGGAGGGGTTTATGCAAATTAGTTACTTTGATTATGTTTACATTAAGGATCAGAAAAGGACAGCGACGTTACAAACTGCAACTACAATATTTATCGAAAACCCACATGACCTGCTGTTTAATATATACTAAAATTGATCAACATAAACCATTTTATTTTGTTTGATTTTAGAATATGATTTGGTTCATTTGAATAAATTTGAGGCTTTAGATATGTAAGCCCCTCCCCTTTCCATAAGCCAGCTCTGCTCTGATTGGTCGGCTGGCCAAGTCTGTTTTGATTGGTCGTTTCATATCAGAAATAAAACGCCCATTTCATTGTATCTCGTGGTTTATGCAAATGAGTTGCTTTAAGTAACTTTACAAACTGCAAATAAGATATTTATCGAAACCCACATGACCTGCTCATTAAATAAACTGAAAATTACATGATTAAGTTTGATTGGAGGATGAACATGACTCTGCGTGTAAATTAGATGGCATGTTTAGTGCGATTCGTCATTAACATCAATCTAACGTAGAATTATCAAAAATAATAATATAAATAAACATAAGAGCTGAAACCAGCCTGTACTGTAGCGTTATCTTCCTTCACGGTTCATCATTTCTCCATCCGCCTGGTCTCTCCACCTGCAGACCAGTCTTTACACCGAAAAACAGACTCCAGCAGGACCTGAAGCAGTGTGTGTTTGGCTGAAGTGTGTGTTTGGGGTGTAAACGGCGGCTCGTCTCCTTTAGATGTTCAGTCTTGAGGCGTTATGATGCTCTGCTCTTCTACGTGCTGATGATCTGACCCGACCAGGTCTCGTGTTTGGCTCCGGCCTTCAGGTGTGTGATGGTCACCTCCACCGCCTGCACCTTCACGTTCTTGGGTGGAATCAGACAGACTTTATAGGTGACCTCGTCTCCCTCCACGGGAACATACTCGCCTTCAATACTGACACAGAGATGAAGAGACGTATTTACAAGTTTATTCACAGATTTGGAGATTTGCCTACAGATTTTTTTGCCTTATCTATGGATTTATAGGCTTATTTACAGATTTATGTACTGATTTATAAGTTTATTTACAGACACTTATTACATATTTATAGACTTATTTACTAATGTTTTTATCTTTATCCATGGATTAACAGACTTAATTACATATGTATAGATAAATATGTATACTCATTTACATATTTATATGCTTATTTACATATTCATAGACTTATTACCTATTTTTAGGTTTATCTGCACATTTATAGGCTTATTTACTAATCTTTTAGCTATATCTAGGGATTAATAGGCTTATTTACAGATTTATAGACTTTTTTAAAAAAAATTGGGCTTATTTGCATATTTATGTACTTATTTACAGATTGTTTAGACTTACTTACACATTTTTGGTCTTTGCATATTTGCCTTATTTGCATACCTGTAAGCCATATCTACAGATTTGTTGGTTTATTTACGGATTTATATGATTATTTACATATTTACAGACTCATTTACATATTTGTTTATTTACAGATTTAAATTTTTTTTACTAATAATTATTATTATTTTTTTGTTAGTCTTATCTGTACATATTAATAGGCTTATTTACAGATTTTTTTAGGTTCATCCACAGCTTCATAAACTTATTTACAGTTGTATAGGCTTATTTATAGATTTATTTATAGATTATTTAGGTTTATTTACATATTTATAGACTCATTTACATATGTATATGCTTATTTAAAGATTTATAGACTTATTTACATATTTATAGACTTATTTACAGATATTTTAGGCTTATTTAAAGATTATTTAGACTTATTTGCATATGTATAGACAAATTTACATATTTTTGGTCGTATTTGTACATTTGCCATATTTGCATATCTTTTAGCCTTATTTACATATTTTTGGGTTTATTTACAGATTTTTATGCTTATTTACATATTTTTAAAAACTTTTTTACATATTTATTTACTTATTTACTATTATTACTATATATATATATATATATATATATATATATATATATATATATATATATATATATATATATATATATATATATATATATATATATATATATATATATATATATATATATATATATATATATATATATATATATATATATATATATATATATATATATATA